GTGGTGGTGGTGGTGGTGGTGGTGGTGGTGGTGGTGGTGGTGGTGGTGGTGGTAGTAGTAGTAGTAGTAGTAGTAGAAGTAGTAGTAATAGCAGCAGCAGCAGCAGTAGTAGAAGTAGTAGTAGTTCTATTATCCCTAAGACTCAGCTCAGCTAACACCACTTCTGTTTAATCTTCCCTGATTCCCTTCCAGATAAAAATGTTCTCAACCTCCAGAAATTTTCCAGAACACTTGTCCCTATCACACCCTACTTTGTATATGCTTATCTGTGAACCTGTTGTATTTCTTCCCCTTTGCCCATACCCCTACCCTTCCCCCTGCCCCACTCCATCTTAGATAGAATGAATGCTTCTTGAGGGCAGGGACTGTGTTCTTCCTTATCTTAGAATCCCCAGGGTCTAGCACATGACCCTCACATGTAGAATACTGAGTAAATGTTTGTCAACTTGAATTGACAGCAATCTGGCCAGGCCAGTCCACATCCCTTTTTGCCCATCTCACCCATATTCTCTTCGTTCTCCCAGCCAAGGTCTCTGACAGCTTCCTTCTCCCCAAACAGACTCTTCAGAATGGCATTGGCAATGGGGAGCATCATGGCGGTGGAGGCCGTGTTGCTGAGCCACATGGACAAGAAGGAGGTGGTCACCATCATTCCTAAGATGAGTCTGGTGGGCAGAGAACCAAAGAATGGGCCCTAGAGGCTCAGAGAAAGGTTATTGTTTTATTTCCTCCTATTTCCTCCTCCCTCATCATCTCTGCTTACTGACCCATCAGGCAGTATTTTTTATGAAGGCTTCCTTCATTCCCACAGCTAGAAGTGATCTCTCTCATCTGATCTCATAGCACTGTGTATCCTCATGCATTCATCATATTTATTAAAGCACCTCTTATTTTCTCTGCTTGACTGTTAATTCATTTAGAATCCAGACTATGTCTAATTCATCTCTTTATTCCCATCACAAAAGTGCTCTGCACAGAACAGGTGTTTAATAAATGTCTGTTGAATTGATAATAGAGACTAGAATCATAAAATGTCAGAGTTAGAAAAATCTTAGAGATCACGCAGTCCGGCCCCTTTCTTTTACAGATGGTGAAACTAAGGCCTGGGCGGGGAAGTGACTTGCTTCTTTTGCAATACTCATATATACAGTAGACCCTAATGATATCACTAATGTCCTAGGACCCTAAAAAAAGTCCTCTGAGTCAGTGCCATAGTCTATTTAGCCCACAGTTTTGCCTTATATAGGAATTGGTTTGGGGGAGATCATAGCATGGCTAGCAATATATTATTTTTATATTTATTATTATCAGAGGCAGCTAGGGGCACTGTGGATAGAGTTCTGGACCTAGACCCAGACCCAAGAAGATGTGAATTCAAATCCAGCCTTACTCATTAGCTGTGTGACCTTGCACAAGTCACTTAGTCTCTGTCTGCCTCAGTTTCCCCATCTGTAAAATGAGGATAATGATGGCACCTACCTACCAGAATTGTTACAAGGATAAAATGATATAATATTTATAAAGTGCTTTGCAAACCTTAAAGTTCTATATAAATGTGAGCTATTGTTAATATATTATTTCAGGCTGTTTCTGCATGCGGTTGTTATGATTCAGGAGATATTTGAGTTGTATGACTTTGGGCAAGTCACTTTCCTTCTATATAAACTAAGAGGGTTGGATTGGATTTTCTCTATGGTCCTGTTATCTCTGCCATATAGGGCCCCTTTCTTTTTATAATAGAAAGATCAAGCACCCCCAACTGCAGGAAGCCAATCCTAATCCCCGCAACTGCTGGCGGTCTCCTTCCCAAACTACTTTGTATATATTCATTCACTTTATGCTATAAATTAACATATACTAAAAGCTATATATATACACATATATATACTATTATTCTTTATATACTTCTTATGCTATAAATATATATTATATATTGTACTATTATATATAACATGATCATAATAATTATACTGTAAAATTATATAATTATATGTCATATAAGTATAATAATTGTATATTTATAATATTATATACTACAAATATATACTATTTGGGCTATAAATGTATACTATGTTATATATAATAATTATATAATGTCATATTATGATTGCAGTATATATAATATTATATACTATTTATGCCATAAATAAGCATACATACATACATGTACTTGCTGTCTCTCTCATTATAATGTAAGCTCTTTTTTTCTCTATATTTTTTTCTCTATATTTTTTTTCTCCATATATTTTTTCTCTGTATTTTTCTTTGTATCCCCTGTGCCTAGAACAGTGCCTGGAACATAGTAGGCACTTAAATACGTGCTGATTGAGTGGCTGCTTGAGTCCAGCTCTGACAGCAATATAATATACTATGGATAGAGCATTGGACTTGGAGTCAGAAAGGCCTGGGCTCAAATGCTGCCTCAGAAACAGTGGGGTCCCCAAATAGTACGAATAGCCAACCCCCTGAAGTGGTCACTGTAATCAAATTTGCACTGCATATTTCCACTGAGCTAGAACCTATATTTTGCATAATTATAACTTCAAATAGTGTGAACTGAATACCTGTGACCATTTCACAGCATTCATTATACATACTAATTGGGACCCAGATGTACTGGATTTGTGACCCCGGGGCAAGTCACTTAACTTGGCTCAACTTCAGTTTTCTTATCTTTAAAATAAGGATAATGATAGCACCTAAATCATAGCTTTCATGTAAGAATCAAATAAGATGATATATGTAAAATGCTTTGTAAACCTTAAAAGTGCTATATGGATATTAGTTGTTATTATTATTATTATTATTATTGCTGTTGTTATTATATTTTCTAAAGCAACAGTCTTTTCTAAAGACCAAATGTTTTGGTCTCAGGACCATTTATACTCTTAAAAATTATTAAGAACTCCCCAAGAGATTTTGTTTATGTGGGTTATAGCTATCAATATTTACTATATTTTCAATTTAAACATATTATTTTGTGAAAATAGTTTTGACCTTGTTGACCCCCTAAAAGTGAATCAGGGACCTCCAAAGGTCACCAGACCACACTTTGAGAACTGCTGCTTTAAGTACCTTCCAGTTCTGACATTAAGTGACCCACAGTTTAAGTTACTTCATGTGTTTTTTTTTAAGTTTCATAGGGTATTGGAATATTAGATCCTGACAACAAACCTGTAATGTAGATAAGCTCACCCAGGGATGGTGATGACCATTTTACAAATGTGATAACTGAGGCACACAAAGCTTAAGGGGCTTGCCCAAGGGCATCTAGCTATTCAGTACTAGAATGTGGATAAGAGGCCAGTCCTCCCAATCTAGAGCTTTTTCCATCAAGCTGTGTTGCCTAGAAGGGCCATGAGTTAGGTTTTGCATCTGGGAAGAGAAGGCCTATTACCTGGCTGGCTGGACCCCAACGAACATCAGCACCTTTAGGGCAATTCTCCGGTGCAGGTTCCATTCCTCAATGGCAGAGGCCATGATTAGCCCACTGAGGAAGAGAAAGTTAGTGTCCAGGAAATACTGGGGGCAGACTTTGCTGGAGGGCAAGACGCCCATGAAGGGGAAGAGGATGATGGGGAGCAGAGAAGTCACCGACAAGGGCAGGGCCTCTGTACACCAGTAGAGTGCCATCAGCAGGATGACAAAGAGACATTTTCCTTCCTAGGGGAAGAGAACAGATGAAAAAAGTGTTATGGATCAGAGAACACGGACTATTCGGAGCTGAAAACTCCCTTAAAACACAAAATTCTTGTCAGATCTGGAAAGTCCCTTTGAACACAGAATGTTGGAACTGGAAGGGACCTTAAAACATAGACATAGAATTGGGAAGGATCTTGAAACACAGAATGCTGGAATTTGAAGGAATCATAGAACAGAGAATATTGGAGCTAGAAGGGACTTTAGAACATAGAGTTGGGAAGGATCTTAGAACATAGAATGTTGGATCTGGAAGGAACCATAGAACATAGAATGTTGGAGTTATAAAGGACCTTAGAACATAAAGGATCTTAGAACATGGAAGGTTGGAACCTGAAGAAACTATAGAACATAGAATGTTGGGGCTATAAGGGACCTTGGAACATAGAATGTTGAAACTGGAAGGGACTTCAGAACTTTAGGAAGAGATTTTAGAACATAAAAAGTCAGAATTAAGAGGGACCTTAAAATATAAAGAGTTAGTTGGGAGGGACCTTTAGAACAAAGAATGTTACAGCTGGAAAGGACCTTAGAAATCATCCAGTTTGACCCCTTAATTTTTTTAAGCTTTTATTTTTCCCCAGTTACTTATAACAACAATTTTTAGCATTCATTTTTAAAACTTTGAGTTCCAAATTCTCTCCCTCCCTCCCTCCCCAGCCTTCCTCCTCACTGAGAAGGCAAGCAATTCCATATAGGTAATACATGTGTAGTCACGCAAAATATATTCACAATAGTCATGTTGTAAAAGAAAATATAGACAAGAAAAAAAACTCAAGAAAAATAAAGAAAGTTTAGAAAAGTATGCTTCAATCTGTATTCAGACACCAACAATCTTTCTCTGGGGATGGGTAGCATTTTTTATCATAGGTCCTTCAGAGTTGTCTTGGATCATTGTTTTGTTGAGAATAGCTAAGTTATTCACAGTTGATCATCTTACAATATTGCTGTTACTTTGTATACAGTACATTTCACTTTGCATCAGTTCATGTAAGCCCTTCCAGGTTTTTCTGAGAGCATCCTGCTCATCATTTCTTATAGTACAATAGTATTCCAACATAATCACATACCACACCTTGTTTAGCCATTCCCCATTTGATAGGCATCCCCTCAACTTCTAATTCTTTACACCCAGAAAAGAGCTACTATAAATATTTTTGTACATAATGGTCCTTTTCCTTTTTGTTTTTTATCTGTTTTGGGATACAGACCTAGTAGTGGTTTTGCTAGGTCAAAGGGTGTGCATGGTTTTATAGCCTTTTGGGCATAGTTCCAAATTGCTCTACAGAAAGGTTTAATCAATTCACAACTCCACCAATAGCGCATTAATGTCTCATTTTTCCCATGTTCCCACCAACATTTGTCATTTATCTTTTCTGTCCTATTAGCCAATCTAATAGGTATGAGGTAGTACCTCAGAATTATTTGTTTGTTTTTGTTTTTGTTTTTGTTTTGTGAGGCAATCAGGGTTAAGTGATTTGCCCAGGGTCACACAGCTAGTAAGTGTCAAGTGTCTGAGGTCGGATTTGAACTCAGGTCCTCCTGACTCCATGACTGGAGCTTTATCCACTGCACCACCTAGCTGCCCCCAGAATTGTTTTAATTTGCATTTCTCCAATCAATAATGAGTTAGAGTATTTTTTTTCATATGGTTATAGATAGCTTTGATTACTTCATCTGAAAATTGATCATATCTTTTGATCATTCATCAATTGGGGAATGGCTCTTATTTTTATATATTTGACTCAGTTTTCTGTATGTTTGAGAAATGAGGCCTTTATCAGAGAAACTAGCTTCAAATTTTTTTTCACAGTTACTATTGCTAACTATCCTTGCCTCCATTCTATTCACTCTGCCCTGTTTATTCTATTCTCTCTTTCCTTTTACCCTGTCCCTTCTCAGGCTTCTGATTACCACCTCCCCCAATATGCCCTCCCTTCTATCATCCCACTTCTCTTATCCCCTTCCCCTCTTACTTTCTGGTAGGGTAAATAAGATAGATTTCTATACCCAACTAAGTATGTATCTTATTCCCTCTTTGAGCCAATTCTGATGAGAGTAAGATTCATTCACTCCCCCTCTCCCTTCTTCCCCTGCATTGCAAAAGCTTTTTCTTGCCTCTTTTATGTGAGATAATTTACCCCATTCTACCTCTCCCTTTCTCTTTCTCTCAGTACATTCCTGTCTCACCTCTTAATTTAACTTCTTAGATATCATCCCTGGGGCAGCTAGGTGGTGCAGTGGATAGAGCTCTGGCTTTGGAGTTACAAGGACCTGAGTTCAAATTGAGCCTCAGACACTTGATGCTTCCCAGTTGTGTGACCCTAGGCAAGTCACTTAACCCCAATGGCCTCACCAAAAAGCAAAAAAAAGACATCATCCCTTCATATTCAACTCACACCTGTGCCCTCTGTCTATATTTGCTCCTTCTAACTACCCTAATAATGAGAAAGTTGACGTCTTAATTTTATAGAGGAGGAAAGTGAAGCCCATAGATAGGAAGTGACATGCCCAAGAGCACACAGCCAGTTAGTAGCAGTCAGAACTTGAACCAAGGCTGCTTGACTCCTAATCTAAGGTTCTTTCCACAATCTCACAACACCCTGTCCCCTGTGGCCGGTGCTCATGATCTTTTCACTAACACTCAGGCTATTGTAGTAAGTGAATCTAGAGAGTTTTTCTACATGAGCAGGTTAGGAATTGGAGTATGGCCACAGTGACCTCCACATAGCTTCCCAGCCCTCTCAGGGCTTCCCATGGAGAAGGGAATCCAGACTCACAGAGGATTGTAAGGTTTAGACCAGAAAGCTGTCCAAGGCAACTAATCTGGAATTAACAAAAGCTGTACCCTGGTCAGCTCCTCCTGTCCCTCAACCTTTCCCAGGCCCCTCGAGGGCAGAGGCTGGCACAGGCTTTCAGTGACAGGATCATCCAGTCTCTTCACTAAGCAGAAATCTCTCCTGAACAAGTGAAGGTTGTTAAAATGATTCTGTTAAATTTCTTATCCACTCTTTGCTCTGTGCTGACTCACTGGGTGAACCTTGAGTAGTTCCATCACCTATCCAAAGCTCAAAGTGCTCATCACTGGAGCTAGGAATCCCTGCTTCCCTCCTAGGTAGTACATTCTAGAAGAGAATCCAAAGGTGGACTTCTAAGTTCTGAGAAGCCCAGGTGGCAGCCTATGGGGCAGTCTAAACCCTGGTGAGAATGAAGGCTTCCAGTTTTCATTTTAACTCTACTGGTCACTTAGTCACTTTAAAAATGATCTTCAAATCAGGAAGGTTTTTTTTTTGTTTATTGGTTTTTGGTTTGGTTTTGTTTTTTTACCATTTTCTTTCCAGAGATTAGCTTTCAGGGAAGCAAAACTTGATGTAGCCCAGATAACTAACTCATTTTCTAGGCTTGTTCTGTTGGAGTTTAGAACGTTGTTCTGATTGATAGAGAATCAAGCTTCCCACATCTTAACAGAGAGAAAATAGACTAGAGGTGCCAAATAAAACCTGCATTTACCGACATGGCCTATGTGGTTTTGCTTAGCTACACTTATTTTATACTTATATGTTACAAGGAAGGGCTTCTATTGGTAGGGAATGAATTAGTGAGTAGCGTTAGAAATGTGAAGAGAGAGAGAGAGAAAGAAGGAAGGAAGAAGGGGAGGGAGGAAGAGAGGGAGGGAAGGAAGAAGAGGAGGAAGAGAGAGAGGAAGGGAGGGAGAGAGGAAAGGAAAGCAAAAAGAATTACAGAAGGGGACACAAAGGGTAAATTTGTTACTCCCTGAAATTTAATGTACACTTAAAAACAAACTATGTAACAAGTTCATGGTTTCACATAGAGTAAAATTTTTCTTCTCTGTTACACCAAAATGTTTGTATTTGGTGATAATTGCTAAATTCATAAAAAAAGATAATTTTTTTAAAACAGAAAACTGTTCTTACTTAGAATCATGGGAAATCAGAGTTGAAAGATGTTTTGCAATATAGAACAGAGATTGTCAGAACTAGAAAGAACTTTGAAACAGAGCTTAGAATGTTGGATATGGAAGGGACTTTAAAGCAAAGAAGAAGAAACGGTAGACACAGAAGTACCTTAGAACCTAGAATGTCCAAGTTGGAAGGGACCATAGAATGAAGAATACCAGAACTGAGAAGGATGTTAGAATTCAGAATGTCAGAGTTCCAAGAGACTTTAGAACTTGTCTCATCTAGCAGGTGGATTTCAGAAAAACCTGGAAAGACTTGCAAGAACTGATGCTGAGAACATTGTATACAGTAACAGTAACATGACTGACTGATAGACTTAGTTCTTCTCAGCATTGCAATGATCTAAGACAATTCCAAGAATCATGATGGAAATTGCTATCCACATTTAGGAAAGAACTACAGAGTCTGAATGCAGATCGAAGCATACTATTTTCTCTTTTTTGTTGGTTTGTTTTTTGTTCTTTCTTTCTTGTGGTTTTCACCTTTTGTTCTGATTCTTCTACCACAACATGACTAATGTGGAAATATGTTTAATATGATTGTACATGTATAGCCTATATCAGATTCCATGCCACCTTGGAAAGGGGGAAAGGGAGGGAGGGGGAAAATTTTAGAACTCAAAATCTTATAAAACTGATCGTTGAAAACTAAAAACAAATAAATAAAATTTTTTTAAAAAAAAATTGTCTCCCCTGGGCAAGTCACTTAACCCCATTGCCTAGCAAAAAACAAAAAACAAAACAAAAAGGAGAAAAAAGAAGAAAAATGTGCTAGGTGGCAGAGTGGATAGAGCACTGGATCTGGAGTCAGGAAGACCTGAGTTCAAATGTGACCCTAGAAACGTACTAGCTGTGTGACCCTGGGCAAGTCACTTAACCCCACTGCCTAGCCAAAAAAAAAAAAAGATAAAAAACAAAACAAAACAAAAATTAAAAGTTGTCTCACCTAACCCCTCCATTTTGCAGAATGCAAAACTGAGGCATG